TCAAAAGCAAAAAAATACCTATATACGTTGTATGCCATACACAGAGTCCGGCAAAGCTCCAAAACGTCGCACACCCACACGCGCGCGATCACATCCTAGACGAAGGGAGGAAAAAGAAGCCAAAGATTCAATTTGTACCCCGGGGAGCGTCAATTATCCACGGTCGCGCAAATCTCGGCTTTTACACGAGAGAGAGAGAGAGAGAGTGATTTTAACGGGTAAAGAGAAAGTGCGTACAAGGGGAGTGGTATATTTATGTGCGTGCATCTGGAGTATGTGTATAAAAGGGAGGAAAGGGGGTGGAGGCACATATATATATATGTGTACCCATGTATAGTATCGGGGACGTTAAGAGCCGTCGAGTCGATAAGGAGTTTAACGAGCATGGAAAAGCGGCCATTTGAATAAAGCAATTTCTCTGCCGGCGAAGTCGCAGCCCCCTCTCCTATACCGTGAGCTTTTGAGTGCCGCAATTTCGATGTAGTAGCTATACGTACGGGGCGTTGAGGCGAGGGGCGATGGACCAGTATAGGATAGGCGTTTAGGCTCTGGATTATTTTTATGTTAATGGGCCGTAGTCGTAGTCGCTTCGCGTGTGGAGGGATTGTTGATCGACGGGCGATTCCCGGAGAGTTTGCTGCTTCTTTGGGCTGCGTCCAGGGTGGGGCGATTTGTCGAGGTACGGGGGGAGGGGCTGTTTATTATTTTTAATTACAGTATTTTAAGTGTTGCGTTCAATAATGCGAGTTTTATTGCGAGTTTGAGGAAAGATAAATGAGAAGTGATTGGTTCGTTGTTGTAATTTCGCATACAAGGCGCGCCTGACAAATATTAAAGCAATTTCGATTTCTTGAAGGATTGGCGAGCTCGAGTACAATTGTACCATCGATTTTTTCATACTTTACAAAGACAATTTTTCTTCTTTTTTTTTTGTTTTCGAATCACTAGGAATTTTTTTACTTGAAAAGTTTATTCATTACTATCAACAGTACAATATTGGGAACAAAAACTAGTAAGTATAAAATGTTTTAGACGTTGAAGTTTACTGCAAAGTGATTGAAATAAAATTTTACCTTTTTTTTTTAAAAAAATAGTGGATTGTTTTTGCTGGTTTTTATTAATAAAACTTAAAATTAATTTTTTTAAGCATAAATAATACAGTTAGTTAGCAGCAAAAACTTGTACAACGAAAAATGTTTTTCTGACAAAGAAAAAGAAAAGATTTCTTACTGGTCGATACGGATGACATGGCAATTAATTTGTTTCTCGAGCAAAATTACATTTTTCAGTACCAAAAAAGCTCCCCAAGACGTACACGCTACTGTAAAACTCAAATTTACAAGTAGTGAGAAGAATTTTTTTTTCTCTAGAACTCGCACGAGTGACAGACCGAAGAATAAAAACACCAATAGCAGATTCAAGCTGAATATCGGACAAAAACTGCAATGTATGGTTGATTACTCCCGTAACGTAAACTACTCCGATCGGGATGAAAATAAATTCGCGCGTGGCAAAATCCTACTTACGAAACAAAAAAGATGTACTTAATATTGGAACAAAAAAAACTCCCACCCTACACATCCGAATCTCGTTAGATCCACGATTCAATTGCTCAAAGTTTGTGCAAAATAACCACAGGAGAGTGGAAAAAAAATTTGCCCTCGAGAAATACGGGGCACGTTGGAACAACAGTTTCCAAGAGCCCCGCGGAGAGGCGACGACCAGGAGGGCTGGGGGTGAAGGAAAAAAAAGAGCATTTAAAATTATCAAGCGACAACCGGGTGCTATTATACATATACCCCGTAGCGAAACTACGGTACAGAAGAAAAGAGAGATGCACATAATAAAACGCGCAATACAACTACCACGCGTATGTATATATATATACGTGTATGCGCGTACAACCCGCGATAATAAATCAACCAGTTGCGCCGGGGCTTCCCACCCCCCCCCCCAAACACGCCCCTACGATGTAGCCAGATGGGTTAATTTCATCGAGTCGCGCGCAAGCCGTATACCTACCGGGAGCTACGAGCTTTTCCCTCCTCTCTCTTCCTTTTCATTTAACGGAGGAAAAGTTTCACGAGCGCAAAGCCTCCCCCCCCCTCCTCCTCTACCCGCGCTTGTACATGTATATATGTATATATCTGTATACAGTTGTAAGATGAAGTACGTGCCCGGATTTTTTTATACCGGCATCTGGTGAATTGAAAATTCGTTGCTCGCACGGAGCGAGGGAGAGAGACACTTGCGCGTTTATTATAGTCCCGTCGAAGATGCGTTGTACCCTTTGGTTCAATCTATAAATACATAATCTATACTTGGCGCGAGTGTCTAAATTAACGCGATTAAATTTATATACGTACACCATCCACGATTGTCACGTGAGTTATTCTTTTCGACTTGGTTGGTAACCCTCGAGTATTTAATTAATGTATGTATAATCGTGTGCTCGAACGGCAGTAAAGTTTGAATCGCCGCGAGTTGATCATCGGTTTCGATTGGAATTGAGTCGGTTGTATCGCCGCCCCCCCCCTTTTCTTTTTAAAGAGGGATGGACCACGAATGCTGTTGGGGGGTTTTTTTTTTTTTTCTTCATCGAATCGGTAACAAGGACGGTGGCTCTGACACTTTTACTTTTCGAATTTATGAGCACCGTAAATTAAAATTTATTCGCGCGCGGGGCTCGTTTTAACAAAGTGTCAATTAATCTCGGGTGTCACGTTGCGCGTCAACCATCAAGTTGCTATACCCTGAAAAGATTTTGTTACGCGTGAACGCGTAACCGGGTGTATAAAAGTGAAGTTTTATTGAACTATTTCTGTACATGTACATCGTAATAATGTATCGATCGTACCAATTAAACATTCGAGCAAGTGTTTGTACCGTATATATATATATAATATGTAGGGGGTTGGCGATAGTGCAGTCCTCGTCTGTTTCCCGCTAATTGACCGCAAGCTTCGTGCCTCGAGTTTACGCCCAAGAGCTTAAGGACGAGGTGAAAAGCTTATAGGTGGGAGAAACGCTGCAGGGGAGCTCGATTGTTCCGAGGCTTTAGCGAGAGGGAGTCGATTTTTTTTTTTTTTTTTCAATCCGGGAAACGTGGCTTGACCGAGTTTTCCTCGAGTTTCACGGTTTGTCTTTTTATTTTATTATCATCTTTCTCCGATAAATTTACAATTTTCTTTTTTTTTTAGGAAATCGTCAATGACTTCTGATGCTTTACGAGGCTATCTCGATTTTTGTGTGAAACCAGTTATTTCGGGTCTTTTGTGCAAAATTCGGTTATCCCGGGAAATAAGTTTTTTTTTCCGCCATTTCATAATGATCGATCGAAGCAAAGAAAGTAGGAACGTATTGGCTGATTATAACATCCACACAAGAGTTGTTTGAATCTTTGTGGCGATTTGAAGATGTCACGTGCTTTGTTTTTCATTCAAACCTAATGAAATACTTGCCAAATATTGTGAAAGATAATCACATTGATTTAAAAACATTAACTATACATTCGACCAACTATACCTGATCTTGAAATTCATATTACAAAAAATAAGCGTGGGAGTGGCCCAAAAGACGTCAAATGAGCTTGCAAGCAGATCGAATCTTTTTATACATTGTTCGTGCATCGATTTTTCCGTTGAAAATGAAAATACGTGGAAATTTCAACTTGACACTCAAAACTTGTTATTTTGATACACTTGAGTTGGCAGGCGAGGAAACTCGTTGAGCAAAACAAACGTGCATTAGACACTTTTAACACATATTATAATATTTTTCGACGATTAAATTCACCTTAGAGTAAACATTGAAAATTAATAAAACTCATTCGCATAACATTCATAACTAATAACGATAAATTGCAAAAAAAAATAAACGGTATATGAGAACTCGTATGTTTATCCACAAAGCAAAATGAACATAAGGTATTGGCAAACATTTATAGCAGTAACGTTTCGTGAATGTCAAATTGGCCAATAAAAATAACATGACTATCAAACATGATGCATGTGTACCCTATTATACGTTGCTCGCAGGGCTGATTATGTGTACCATAAAATACAATCCAACAAGAAAGTTCGAAAAAAAGCGATAAATTTGTTGTATCACCCAATCGAGTCTTTTTTTTTTTCAAGATGCTATGAATGTTGTACGTCAGATGTTCGACTAACAAGGCATCGTAAATATAGGTACATATATGTAACAGAACACGGGCAGAATAATACGCCCAGTACTTTTTTTTTATATGTATACTATACGTGTATAGGTCACAGTAGACGAGCACAATACCCGATCGTACGAGATTTGATTTGCCTTCGAACGAAAATACAATATGAAAATGCACGCGTCTTCGTGTCTCTCTGGAGCTTACACGTATACGTTCACGATGTGTGTGACTTTTTTCATCTGTTTTCCTGCGTGTTATGATATAATGTGTATTTTCAAACGTCTAACATGTAGTTTAAAAAAAGAACAGAAAACAACGAGCAAACATCCAAGACCAGTTGGTCGTGTTTTCCAATACCTTCGAACAATCCTCATTCACTTGTCACTCGATTCACTTTTTAAACCTCGAATTCGCACGTGCCCGCGTTACGAGTTCGATTATCAGGAGAGACAAAAAAAAAGTTGTGCAACGAGATCCAAGGAAAATACGTGGCAGGAAAATTTTAAAAAAATCACTGCCCAACGCGCATAATATCAGGTGTACATAAATAAGAGCACAGCTTCGCGGTGAAACGCCACAAAGGTCTACTTGGTCCCGACGCGTCAATCAAATTACGGGACCCGTCGCATTTATCATCGTTATCATCTCGACATTCGTCTCTCTCTCTCTCTCTCCTTCTCGTACACTGACAAATCGCTGTCACCTCACTCGCGATTTTCTAGATTCATCGAAACGCAACGAAAAATATGAAAAAAGTGAAAAACCGTAAGAACAAAAAAAAAAAACGAAAAAACGAAAAAACGAAAAAACAGACAACAACAACAAAACGCACTGCACAACCGAGGGGGAGTCGAAGAGGGGAGGGGGAGAGGGTGGCGAGTTGCCGGCTACGTGCGACTCCCGCCAGCGGAGTCCCGACTCTGGTCCACCTCTGCCGAGGAGAACCGCGCGAAACACATCCTGACTGAATTTTCCCTCCCACTGTACCACCTCCTCCCTATGTATACATATTATATAGATATAAGCGCGAGCTACATACATACCCTCCGCGCCTCATTTCCGTCACTCGCGCGCCCTGCACCTCATATACGCTCATACACAATATAGTATATATATATATATAAATTTTTTTTTGTTCACCTCTCCCACCCAAGGTATAACTTTTTCGTTTCCCCCCCGCAGCCCGTATCATCCATTATTATTGCCTCAAACGCATTTCTCAAGGTCACGTATATACAAACAATAATCGCCACTAGTCCAGCAAACACACGCATGTATGTGTATACACATACACAGTAGGAAGAGAAAAGCTCTCGCGAAAGGGGGGGGGGCTCGATCACCTGTTTCCTCCACCATTTCCTCCTCTTCTAGCTTTTCCTTCGGCGCTTTCCTCTCGCGACGGGCAGAGAAAACGTCAGCGACACGCATCAACGGGGGGGGGGGGTGCGAGTTTACCCCCGCGTTTCTCGGCTCTGTACCTCAGCTGCGGCTGATGCTGCATCGATCTCGCGGAAAAAAGGGGGCCTCTGTTGAGGGGGGGGGGAAAGGTAAGATCGAGTTGTATTTACTCGGGGGTGCTCGCGCGGTGATGGGCCAAGGAATCACCGGCGGGTAGTGCTCTTCTTTTGGTGTAAAAAAAAAGCTCAGAGCGCGGGACGCGAGATTAACGGTGGAGGGACGAAAACGAGGGCCAATATGGTATACCGTATATACAGGTTGAAACAGTTGACGCGAGTATTTTTTTCACTCCATAATAGTGTAAATGGGGGGGGGGAAAAAGGAAATTCCTACCGTATAGGTATATATATAT